AGCTTCTCGCATTCCTTCTTCCTCATGTTGCTCTCATTTGGGATCGTTACATCTATCACTACGGCCGTCTTCTTCTGCTTATCTACCACCATTAAAACTGTTGCTGGGCAGGGAGGGCTCCCACTATCTTTGCTCCAGAAAGCACCTGGCACAGGCCTCCCTGGGAATCCTCACACTCACTATCTCCCTCTTCTCTATCTGAGTCTAAAATTTGCAAAATATGCAAAATATTAGTAATGACACAATGGAAAAACTTCCAAGAATATCAGATTACACATGGAAATATTAAACAACGTTAGTTGATCACCTGCAAAAAGAGAAAGCTTTAACATTTTAGTTAAATGAATTTGTTTATTAATGAAAAACTTGTTAAGATAAGGTAGTCATTCTGTGTGAGACAGGTTTATCAAACTCATCCATTATCCAATGTTTCCAATTTGGTGATTGTTTTTGCAAAAAAAAACATTTTCAGCAGTATTTTTTGGGATAAAGGTACAAACGTATCACCAAACATCACATACATTCTAGCGAGAAGAAGTCAAAAGAGTCGCAGTTTGGCTTTAGAAGAGCTGTACAGCATGATTATGTCAAGGAGTGATGGTTTAGATGCTGCAAGTGAAAGCAAGTGAGAGATAAATGAGTGGCCTTAAGAGATTATGCATAGTTCAAAGGTTAAGTGTCTCAAAGGGTAGAGTAGCTGGAACATGTGGGAACGAGGAAAAAGTTTTGAAGGAAAAGAGTGATGTGATTGAGTTTTTCAATAGGCAGGGAGGCCTGGAAACGCTTGGTGTCAAGAGTTATGCCAAGGATGTTGAAGGGCCCTCAGTTTTCTCTTCTGACAATGGAACACCAAGTTCGGAGAAGACTAACCATCAAGGTGAATAACCCATGAGCTGGCGGTGACATGGGAGGGGATAGACCAGGAAATTGTCGAGAAGATGAACTAAGAATGGCAGCTTATGGTTGTTGGAGAGGATCCAACATAGAGTTTTGGAGAGTGAGTCAAACAACTTGGGGCTGCTTTTGAAACCAACGGTCAGCCTGACTGCGAAATAATAGGTATCCCTCCACTTGACTCCGAACAAGCACCAGAAATTTGGGGGGGGGGAATTTGCAGGACTTGCAGGCACTTGTGATGGATTTTAAAGGCCATGCTGCGCCTCTTCCAGCGATTTTAATGAGAGAAATGCCATGGTTCACTGTGGAGTATTTGAGAGAACAGTGGTCACTGGGAGTGATACTATTTATGCTTGGAAGATGACTGCTGTGTGGCACAGATAAATCAATTAAGATGCGCTTTTTGCCTGAATATTTTATGGTAGCGATGACCAGTGGGCTAATGCGAAAGAGGGGAATAGGTGGTTTAAGGAAGGGTCAGATCATGAAACCCTCCCTAACTTCTTTGGTGAGCATGCCGACAATGGTTTCTCGGTCTTTGAGAGCTGACTGGAGGTTTTTACAGGTACAGGAAACTGAAAGCTCAGTGTGGGGGCATGCTGGGTGGGATGACCAGTGCCGCAAAAGGAACAGGAGTAAATGTTGTGAGTTGTGAGGAAATCTCTGGTGTGGAGCCTGGGGCCACATGGATAAAAGCGGATGAACGGAATGAGGGCTCATCTGCTTTTTTGGGCTGGGGTGATGCAGGTGGGAGCAGGATGCGACAGAGCACCACCTATTGTGCTGGAGAGAGAAGAAGAGGCAGCAAATATGTGACAGTAGAGTTCCTGATCGAGATTGCCCCAAAAAGTGTCTTGATTAAACTGTTGTAGGCAAGCAGCTGCCTGAGAAGAGAAGTGGATGTGGTACTAATAAAAGCTGGTGATGACGAATCTTAGGGCGAGATCAAGTATTTCTCCTGCTTCTTGTGTTCCTTTTTTCTCATGTTACTGTCATTCACCATGTCTAACACTATGGGTGTCTTCCTCTGCTTGTCCACCACTATTATGTCCGGTTGGTTAGCCATCACCAGTTTGTCTTTCTCACTGATAATATCATTGGTAAAATTTACGCCATATAAGCATGTTAAACCTGTTTGACTTTATTAGTAAAATTCTACCTTTCATCTTTCTAACTAGTTTCTGTTTTTCCTTCCTCTCTGTTCTTCAGCCTCTGGATTTTGTGTAAATCACAGTTTTTAAGTTAATTGTTAAGTTAATTCTTAACATTTAAAAGTGTGATGTCTTGGTATAGAGGATCTCCCTCATACGTTTGTGTTGTATTCTTCAACAGCATCTTTAGAGTGTCATCTGTCTTTGGCCTTGGGATTTTTTTAAACTATCAAGTTTTTTGACCATTATACAACTAGGAGTTAGTCCAACTTCATTACTGTCTGTAGCACAGAGTTTGATTTTATTGATGCTACTTAGGCTCATTTTCAAACTTCTTAAGAAGTTAAATCTTTTAACCATTGGATGCACAACCTACCAATACCTACACTCTTCCACGAGTGGGGTCAAAAATGACCCCAAATAGAAACAATGCATTTTGCTATAAACTCGGTTGTTATTCTTCAAAATCTTTAAAACGAAGAGTTGTAATATTTTCATATTTGAGGTATTCCTCATAAAACATGTTTGTGACATGAGGCCCTTTACATTTTTATTTATTTTTTCATTAATTTTAAGAAATTGCAGTTTTTGTATCACTTGTATCACTTTTGTATGCTTGCTCGGCATATACTGCAGAAGCTGGGTCTTCCCTTTGAAAGGCACAAGTTGTTTATCCACTGTAACACAATCACTGAGGATGAATTTCTGCCTGCAGTTGACCAGAAACAGGCCCCATATGTAGCAGAAAGCTGCCACGTGGTTTGTTTTCAGTCGGTAGGCTCTGGTCCTCTTGTCATCAAAGTGCAAGAAACTGCGAATATCTTTAAATCTTTGAATTGACATAGTGGCCTTGTACAATGGGTTATGCAGAGGACTCCCAAAAACACACCGCGACTGGTACATCCCAGTTCTCCCACTCCTCTGTATCTGACTGGCCTTGTTCAGTGGGTGGGGGGGAGGGGGGGCAATAGTCTGGGTCCTCTATATCTGAGATGTCAGATTCTGAGTCAATGCCTCCGATGGGCTTTTCATCCCATTCGTCCTGGATCATTTGTAGGGCAAGATCCACAAGGATCCTTGCTGGCCTCATAGCAGCCATGTTACTTTAAATATTAAAAAAAATAATCAGAAAGGACAATGTTTGAAATGCACAGGAAACTATAAACAGGGCTGCACATAAATGGTCCTCAGGTGCGCATTCGCTGTCAAAATAAAAGACACACACCAGATACGAAGTTGGGACGCTCGTTTGGGTACATTAGATGTTCTGGAGGAGGACAGACATTTGTTCAGAACTCTTAAAGATGTTGAAGAAGCAAGCTCCGTAAGCAATTACTTTGGTGTTCTTCCACCACAAAAGAAGCGTGTATTCTCTGAATTTCTGGGAATACTTTTGTTTTGACAGCGAATGCGCACCTGCGGACACTTATGTGCAGCCCTGACTATAAATCATGTACATTACTGTGTAAAAATTAATTCTTGATCCATCAGAAGTGTAAGTGGGTCAGTCAGAGTTGCTAAGAATGAAAGTTCCATACAAGATTCAATAGGAACTGCTTGGGGTCATTTTTGACCCCAGTTGTGGAAGAGTGGGGTAGTGATAGAAAAACAGCATTTTCTTTAAATTAATGAAAAAATAAATAAAAATGCAAATGGCCTCATGTTACAAACATGTTTTATGAGGAATACCTGGAATATGAATATATTACAACTTTGCATTTTAAAGATTTTGAAGAAAATGCACACGTGGGATCATTTTTGACCCCATGTGTGCATCTAAGAGTTAAGGTGAGGCGCATGAGTTCCACTGGACTGAATTTCTCAGATGTGAAGTTTCTGTAGAAAAAAAAATTAATTGGATGACATTAAGCAGTGCAATGCTCTGAATATACTCATATATGGCTTAAATTTGTATTTCCAACTAAATGTATGATTCATTTATAGTTTAACTTTGTTTGTGAAGTTACTGTTGAAGACAGACACATGTAAGGAGATAGTGGATCTGTGGAAATAAATTTTTCTTTTACTATTTCTTTTTATGTATCTGCAGCACTGCAGCCGTTTTCACGGCATACATTATGATTTGGTACTGTAAGCTATTTATAAAAAAGATGTATATTCTTTTAAATCTATAAGTCTGCCTGCTTTCATTACAAGCAGGCCAGTTTTGCTTCATTTCCAGCCTCTTTGGGACTGTTCTTAACATATGAGAGGGTCAGATATAATAATAGCAATGTATACTTTATTGATCCCCATGGGGAAATTACTTGTTTTTCTCTGCATTTGACCCATTCACTCAGTGGGCAGCCACTAAGTAGGCACCCGGGGAGCAGTGTGTAGGGATGGTACCTTGCTCAGGGGTACCTCAGGGTAGCCGTTCAGTGGATTTGAACCCCCCACCTTGCAATCATGGGGCAACCACTCTACCTACTGAGCTATCCCTGCCCCAAGTAATAGAGACAGATGATGGTCATGGCAAAGTACCAAACATGCTCGCAGGTTGATGGCATTAAAAACACAGAAACAAAAGAAATACAAATGAAAGCATAATAGAAAAGCATAGAACAACATAAAAGCAGTTAGCCAAGGATATAAGTCTTTGGCAGTTATGGTATTGGCAGCTTGTTTTAGTTCTTAGGCACCCCTTTCTTCATCACAGCTTTCTGTAGTTCTGATAGTTGGCTAACTTCCCTCCGTGCTGCCTTGACCTTAGGCTGTAGTCATCTTGTAGCTCAGTTCATCTTGTAGCCAAACATCTCAAAGATCACTGTTGCAGTGGTATAGATGAGTTGGTTGGTTTCGGTGATGGTCACAGTAGAGACTGATAATGCTGCATTTGCATGTTCTAGTAGACTTGTTGTTATTATTATTATTATTATTATTATTATTATTATTGATCCAGCACAGTCCTACAGCTTACAGTGTGTACTCTAAATAGGTAAAAGTAATCCTATGGAACAGCCCAAAACTGGTAATTTGAAACATTCACAAAATGATGCATTTGGGAATATTAGGGATAGTCAGAAATCTAATTGCCAGTGTTAATGTATTGGACTGAATTAAATATGAAATGCTTACTTTAAAAAAAGTGGCTGTAGAGTGTGTTTCATGTGAACCATTTTTTTTCTTAATAATTTGCATAATCCGCTCTCCCTCACAGCTCGTCTGACTGTGAGTCCCAGCAGCTCTCAGCTGTTTAAAGATGAGTTTGTGTCTCTGAGCTGTGAGGAGGACGACAGCTCTGCTGGATGGACTCTGAGGAGAAACACAAGCAGACAGCAGAACACGCAGTGTGGAGATGGGTGGGGGAAGCCATCTGGTTCTTCCTGTAACATCAGCTACATTGACCCACTTGAAAGTGGAGTTTACTGGTGTGAGTCCAGAGAGGGTCCCATCAGTAACATGGTTAACCTGACAGTCACTGGTAAGCTGAGTGTGTGGAGTTAGTGTTGATGAAGCTGTGTGTAAATGGATGAAATGCTGTAGTTTGTCTCTGTGTTGAGGTGGATCAGTGATCCTGCAGAGTCCTGTCCTCCCTGTGATGGAGGGAGATGACGTCACTCTGCTCTGTAAAACAAAGACCACTCCCTCCAACCTCCCAGCTGCTTTCTTTAAAGATGGCTTCTTCATTGGGAAGCAGCCTACAGGTCACATGACCATCCAGCATGTTTCCAGGTCTGATGAAGGCCTCTACAAGTGTGACATCAGCGGTCATGGAGAGTCTCCATCCAGCTGGATCACTGTCACAGGTGAGGAGCTTCACTCTGATTTCACCTCTTATTTCATCCACACATTAACCTGAACAGGTGAGATTCTCTCTGCAGAAAAACCTCAAATTACATCTGGAGCTCCGCCCCCCGCAATATCCCTCCTCCATTTTGAGTTTACTCTGATGGGCTACCTGGTGTTTGTTGTTCTGTCCATAGTACATCTCCACTCTCCTCAAGGTGAATCTCTAACATCACACAGCCATGGGCAACACACAGACCTGTCAATCAGTTATTAACAACCTGATGATTATGAGCTGTCTCTAACTGAAACCATGATAAAGTTAAATCCTTTCTATTCCAACTTTAGGTAACTGAGCTGCCTGCCCCCAGATGATAACCAGATCCACCAATGGTGAGCAGGATTTGGGCAAGGAGGTTGATGATGTCACCTTATGGCTTGTGTTAATCTATTTCTGTGTTTTTATCAACTGTTTCCACTTTACTTATGTTTTCTTATACAGTTCACTTTGCTTTTGTTCTCTGATCCCGTTCATAAACTTTTGACTGCAACTCTGTTCCATATTTATTTATGTTTGGCTCTTCTGATTAGATTGTATATGGGTGCATTAACACCCATATACAATCTAATCAGAAGAGCCATCGTTGCTGTTCATTGTTAGGTGAAAGGATTTTGAAAAAGTCTTTGTAAATCATGAATTGTAAATGTTTAACCAAATTCTGGGTTCTTTGCAATGGGGTGGGGTTTCAATGATCAATTTTCCAATTAAAATTGATTCTAGCTTGAATAACTTGTTATTGATTCATTAAAATCCTGAATCATTTTTAAATATAAATGTATTTTGCCAGAATCTCAGGTTAAAGCTGTCATTCCAAAACCACCAAACAGCAAAAACAGTAAATCAGAGCAGATAAATGGATTCCACACAAAGACGTAAACACAAAGCTGCTTTTTTCCTTCTCCTTCATGTTTTTCTGTGTTTTATCCTCAGTTACTTTGACACAAAGACATCTGCTGTGATGCTTACACCTTTGATAAAGTGTCAGCTTTGATTTTATAGATATAAAAATATGGATATGTACTTACTCATAGGTGATCAGAAATATAATATTTTTGACTGTCTGAGGCAAAATTTCCCAGATTCAAATAGAATTAAATTGAGTTCAAATCAGGGATCAAATCGATTTGGGACCTTGTGAATCGGAATCGAATAGATTATTATGATACTTTGCAGCAGTGGGAGTAGCTTTTTTTTATTATTTTTTATTTTGACTTCCAATCGTTGCAATCCACTAGTACTACCTGTGGCAACGTTTCACAGTCTACGACGGGATTAACTCGTGACACACAGGCACCTGGCTCTATCATCATATTTTAACACTTCTGTCATGCACAATAATGTTCTTCTGTTCTTGCTTCTTGCAAATAAAATGTCCCTGTGTATTTATTTTCAGCTTGATGAAATTATGAAAATTAAAACTAAATTATGAAAATTAAATTTTAAAAATCACCACTACTTTTGTTCAGAATGATTTTCAAATTAAATAGATTCAATAACAAGAAATTATGTATTCATGAAAAGTTTATACACTAATGTTTGGCATTCAGCACAATGTCTGTTTTTGCTTATTAAATAAATTTGAAAATCATCTGAAATGATTTAATAGTGCCATTTAATATTTCATTGGTGTAATTTCAGTCATGTGAGACAATCATAAAGTGTGTGTCAGGAACACTCGGGGCAAATACACATAATTAATCAGCACACTTGGAGTGGATTGGTAGTTACATACTGGCTCAGGTAATGTAAACATTTTGGATTTAGTGAGGAGACAGCAGAACAATTAGAGACATCGTGAATGAGTATTGAATGTGTGTGTGACATGAGTGATGGAGGTGTGCTGAATGGTTAGTACTGTGTTTTTATTTTTGAGTCTGTTGTGCAGTGGAGCATAAGCTGTTCTTGATAACGGATAATGAATGGATGCCAAATTTGTGAAAGAGCTTCTGAAATTTAAACTCCAGAAGTTAAAAGGTCAACCAGAAGGGAGAGATTTACAGATTTACATGAACCCTGAGGAGCTCCTGTGCTCACCCTGATGGTGCTGGAGATGTTGTCGCCGATTCGGATGGACTGAGGACACCTTGACAGAAAATCTAGTATCCAGTTGCAGAGAGAGGTGCTCAGTTCCAACTTGCTGAGTTTGTTAAACAGTTTTTGGGGGATAATGGTGTTGAATGCTAAAGTCTATGAACAGCATTCTGACATAACTGTTTTTCTTGTCCAGGTGGGAGAGAGAGAAGTGAAGTGCAGTGGAAATAGCATTCTCGGTCGACCTGTTTGGCCAGTATGCAAACTGCAGCGGATCCAGTGAGCAGCGGAGGTTGCTTTTCACGTGTGCCATGACAAGTCTCTCGAAGCACTTCATGATGATGTCAGGGCGATGAGATGGTAGTCATTCAGGCAGGATACTGAGGATTACTTTCTGCGTGAGGAAAATTCTCGAGAGTAAGAATTGTTTGTAGAGCAGCATCTGCATTACAAAGGCAGTGGTGTGTAAAGTGCAATTGTGTGTGCGTGTGTGTATGTGTGTGCGCGCGCGTGTGTGTCTGTGTGAAAAACAGAAGCAGTTGCATGAAAAAGATTAATTCAGTAATTACTGATTACAAAAAATGATCCTGCCGCCTCACAATGATGAATCACAATAAATCCAGGGGTGTCTGTTTAGTCGTGATGACGTGAGTTGTGGGTGTTTCAAACCAGGCTTCGGAGCAGTGTTTCGGAGGCTCGACAGTCGACACACCGTCAAAACGTCATAAACAAACTTCCCATTCTCGGAAGAAGAAGTGAGAAGAAGAAGAAAGCACAGAGTTGAGTTGAGTCCGATGTTTGTCGTAAAAGTTGAGCCTGGATGACCAGCGCCCCGATGAAATTTCTGCTTCTTTCTTTCAGGTAACCGCATTAGTGAAGCCCACTTGTTACCTGGCGTATTTTGTCAGCGATGTGTAGCATCGGTAATGCTCAGTTGTAAATATCAAAACAAACACGTTGACTTTCGGTAACATTTGTTATAGAGTCCCTTTCGACTGTAATGACGGCGTTACGACCATGGACTGTCCTGACGGGAGTATTTATCTTCTATCTGCTGGGACATCTTGACTGTGAAGGTAACCAGCGTTTAACCATCTGCTATCCTTGTAATGTGCGGAGTTTGGAGGTTTATATAATTACTGTAACACTTCGTGATCGATGTAACTCTGTAATGGTGAAAGTTACAACTTCTAAGTCAAAGTCTAATTCAAGTCGTGGTTTCACTTTCACTTCCAATGGCGCAGCTGCTGAATAAAATAAGTTTAAAAGTGGAATTTTAACTTAAACTTAACAGTAGATTTGTTTTAGAGCTGAGTGACTACATTATTAAGACAATTACCGCAAAGCAACTTTTTAGCTAGAAATATAGAAATACAGGCCATTTACCATCGATATAAAATCAAAGACCAATGCTCCACCCCAGAAGAAAGTCCCCTCTTCACCATCGCCACGTGATTTATTTACATTTCAGCCATTTGCCATAAGAGGCCAGCAGGCAGTTACAATATGTGGGTATAGGAAGACAGAGTAATAAATGCATTTATCCAAAATAGTTTTTTTAATATATCACAGTGAAGTGTATGTAGTTATACTTTTGTGTGTATATTTCTAAGTGAAAAAGGAAGTGTGTATTATCACTAGTGTTATCAGCGCTAATTTTCCACAGACGGAGATGCTTAAAAAACAAACAAAAACCAGAGTGCATGCTAAACACCAGTCAGTTTTATTTATTGCTGTTTTGATGGAATATAAATAATATTAATATAGTGTTATAAATCTATCAAATTAATTATTTTCTACCTGCCTGTTTTTATTCACAGTGCTTTCAGTAATGCCTTAAAAACACAGACTGCAAATAATCTTAATTAAAAAAAATGTAAGTAACAGACTGAGTGCAGGTCTCCAGGTCCGGCTGTTCAAAGATGTTCAAAACAGTCCTGTTTTAATGACCCGGGTGCTTGGAGGGGTTTGTTTCCTAAGAGGGGTGCAGGGAGGGATGGAGATGATCAGCTTGTCCAAGGTGGGGGTGGGCTATCACTTCATAGGCCTGCTTGATGTTATTGTACACATGTTACACATCCCATGTTGTAATTTCTGCGGATTTTTGCCTCTAATTTTTCTAAAACTATATTTTTTGAGACACCACTATTCACAGGTAGAGTCTGTTTTTCTTAGGGCTCAGGAAAGTCTTAACACCTGTCTGCTCTTGTAGGTGAAACAAGTAGCAAACTGGCATGTCACTCCACCAGCTACATATTGAGACATCGCTTATCTTGTATTATTAGAGTGGGAACATGTGAACTTCCCAATATCTTTTCTCTAATATCCAAGCCATCTATTTCTCTTCAAAAAGAGTTGTTGAGAGTACACCACAGTGAAACCAAGAAACCAAACAACCAAATAAAAGTTACAGAACAAGAGTTAGGAGAAATAAACAGACGTGTTCTGGTCCTGTAGCTGAAGCAGGTTGCAAACTGACTGCAATACAGTTAGATCCATGATTATGTGGACAGAGACAACTTGTTTCTAATTTTGGTTTTGTACATTACCAGAATGAATTTTAAATGACTTGACTCAGGCGCAGTTGAAGTGCAGACTTTCAGCTTTAATTCAGGTAGTTAAACAGAAAGGTACATAAGAGATGCATAAACATGTGAGGAACTAAAGCATATTTTAACACGTTCCTTTCTTTTCAGGGGCTCAAAGGTAATTGGACAAATTAAATAACTGTCAATAAAATGTTCATTTCTAATACTTGGTTGAAAACACTTTGCTGGTAATGACAGCCTGAAGTCTTGAAGCCATGGACATCACCACATGCTGGGTTTCCTCCTTTTTAATGCCCTGCCAGACCTTTACTGCAGCTGCTTTCAGTTGGTCTTTCCAAGTATTCGATCCTGAGTATTCCTACTATCTGGTTCTCTTCAAAGAGATAAGACTACACCACCATGAATCCTAGAAACAAAACCCCCAAGCAACGATTTAGAAACATGCAGAAATAACAGGCAGTGTGGTGATTTACGCTGTGCGGACACCCTCACACCCATCAGTGTCACCCGAATTAGAAGAATTAAAACAGAATGGTGATGAGAACCCACATGAGTCCAGAAATCCAAACTGACTGTAGGTGTTGTGGGCTGAGATGGTGGTCACATTGTGGGTGTGACTCCAGACAATAATGTTCATTGCTGTTTTTGCTCAGCACGCTGGTGTCCACTGCAGTGAATATAATGGGACCTTAAGAGAAATGACTACTTGGCTGTTGGCTCTCCACTGTACACAAAGGTGTAACTAAAGCTTATGCTTGTTCTATGGTATTGCAGATGTCTCTGTTTCCGTAGGATGTGGTTGGTTAAAAACATTTTATAAATTTCCTTTTGTTATTGAGCTGTTTGATATTCATCCTGTCAGGGATCTGTGCAGACATTAGCTGGACTTTCAAGCAAGAGGAAATGTGTTTTTAA